TACACTTCAAAACAGCAGATGGAGCCTGAAAGGGCTAGCTCTTCCCAGAAGTGTCGCGCGGCACGTGTCTCGAGCATTTCCACAAATGTAAGTGGTGCCACTTTTCCCAGGATAGATAGGCTTCACTCCACACAACCTGGCAGCGGGTTTGGACACCATTATTCAGACGAAGAGCAGGCCGATATAAGACATAGGAAGTGCAAAACTGCCACTTTATTTCTTTTTTTTTTTTGTTTTCTAGCTTTAAATTAGTCCCTCTCTCTATATATATATATTTTTGTTTCTTGCAAAACAACGCTTGCGTGTGAAATGTGGTGTTCTAAACGGCCGCAACGCCCCACCTTGTGCTTTCGATAATTTCGAACGTGGATGGAACTTTAAATTATTCGGAAATCAGAGCTTATTCTGCGTTATGTAAGTCACTGTATTCTAAGTATGTACTGGGTCGTATCTCACGCCGCCTGTTGGCCGGTTTCTGCTGCGGCGGACGCAGAGCGAAGATGATTTAGCTCGAGATCGGCGGCGAACAGCCTGTGGCCGGAGCCCGCCTCGAGCGCCCGACCTGCATGCGCAGCTGCGAACATACAACTTGCTTGCTCCGGAAAAATTCTGCGGCATCTATTCGCAACTTTCAGCGATGGTGGTACCGCGGTGTGAGAAACGCGCTCCCTAGCTCCTGGATGATCGGCTTCACAATGAAGGTGCTTACCAACGCGTTCCTAACATGAAAAAATAAACTAAGGCTATAATACTGCTCGTATATAGCAAAACTAAAATTACTCACGCGTCGCAGACCCAACCTCGCACTGCTGTTCTACGACGACGAGGACTCCCAACACCCCATGGTCCATCACCTCAAGGTTTGCGCTCCCTGTGCCCCTGAGTTCCCGTCCGCGCGTGTTCTGGGGGCCAACAAAAACCGCTACGGGCGCGAGATCGTGGAGGCGTACGCTATAAAAGAGGCTCCGAAGAACATTTTGTCGGCCTCGCTGTCGCTGTCGGAGAGAGAGGTGACATTTCTGAGACCGGAGTTGACGACCTTGGGGGGCCGGGCGAGTGGTCCTTGCTCCTGAGAGGGAATCGGGACGCCCTCCTCCCTTCCCTTCCTTCACGCTGTCTCTGCGGTTTACTTTCCATCTGTTTTCCTCCCGGGTCCTTGTCTTGCCTCCCTCCTTACCCTTCTCCCCCCTTTTAAATTTCCCTCTCCCATAGTGGAGTTCCGAAGGCGAAGTGTCCGGCAATAAATCATTTGTTTGTTGAAAGTTGAAAGATGTGTTGTCCAGTCCCCTGTCTTTATGTATATAACTCTTTCTTAACTTATATCACTACCAACGCGCTCACTAACAAGTATAATATTTACGAGAGCTATGTGTTTGTCACGTCCCCAACCGCCACGCATCAGGCCTTCGGATTTCCAGCCAGGCCCCTTTTTCCGTGCCGCCATCTTCATCTCGAGACTAAATGTCCTCCGCCTGCGGCTGCGATCCTTTGGAGTCTACCTCAGGAAGATTATCCATCACCCCGCCGTCCACCAGGTATTTGGATTCAACTCTGCCAGCTGGACTGCCAACTACAGAGTCATGCAGATAGCACGCAATGAGCTCTCGCAGGAAATTCTTGTCATGCAGAAATCACTTCCCGGTCTCATGACGGGCATCTTTGGTGCCCGCTTTACAGTTCACCCTTCGTACATATTTCTAACCAAGTCAGGCAAGACCTTCTTGATTCATCTTGGAAGGTCGTAATTGCACCTGCATCCACAGAAAAACGAGCGGACCAGTGCCCCAAGCTTCAGCCGCCGCTAAATCTCTCGTGCACGAACCTTTCACCGCAAGCCGAGGCGCTGCTCTCAAAGGGACCCAAATTTGCTCCTTCTGTCACACCGTCAAGAGTGGATCAGCTCGCAGCGGTACACCAGATCGCGTCGAGAATTCCGGAGCCTGCCCGACAGGAGTTCCTCGGTGTTGGTTCCCGTTTGGTGTGCATGCATAGAGCAACCCACCCAACCAAACCCGAATTTCCACGAGTGGTGAATGAACTCAGGGGGTCTGACCTGAGGCTTTTGGAGGCAGACAGGACAGGAGTGTTTGTGGTCATGAACGAGTCTAACTTCGGTGAGAAGGCTGAACTCGACATAAAGAAAAACTTCGTCCCCGTTAAGAAAAGGCCGTCCGGCACTCTCCGTTCGGAAGCTGTTGTGTGTTGGCAACCGAGGATATCCAGGGATGCCGGTGAACTGGTGCACGCGCGCATGCACGAGACGTTCGACTGCTCTGGCCGCAACCCGGTCGGTTGTGCCCGCTGTATGCTGTAATGCATATATTATGTAAAGATTAAATACACAACATTATCGACGAAGTGGAGTCAACCTGCGGCGGAAGACCTTCTAGAGCGCCGTTCACGGCGCCATGGCAGAAGCAAAGGCATCAGCGGCGCCGGCATTCGGCGGCATCGAAGAGTTCGCACCGAGCACCGGTGCAACATGGCCACTGTACCACGAAAGACTTGAGTTATACTTTATCGCAAATGAGATCAAGTCAGCCGAGAAGAAGCGTGCAATCCTGTGCACGGTCTGCGGGGCGGCAACGTACGCCATCATTCGTTCACTCTGCTCACCGGCTCTACCTTCCGAGACGAGCTACGACGACATCGTCTCGCGACTGGCGGCCCACTTCAACCCGAGGCCGTCCGCCATTGTTCAGCGTTTCCAGTTCGGGAAGCGCGACCGGCGTCAAGGAGAAAGTATCGCCGACTACATCGCCGAGCTTCGTCGGCTGTCGGAGCACTGCGCTTTCGGGCCAACGTTGGACGACATGCTCCGAGACAGGTTAGTCTGCGGCCTCCGGGAAGAGTCCCTTCAGCGACGGCTTCTCTCCGAGCCGGAACTAACCTTCGCGGTGGCCAAAGAGAAGGCGATAGCAGCAGAGTCCGCCCACCACCAGACAGAAAAGATCAGGGGGGCGTCCGCAGAATGCAGCGATGTGTGTCGTGTTGGTAAGCAAATGGCTCCGAGAGCTAAGCCTAATGCCGAGGCAGCAAGAGGAAGGACTGCGTCGAAGTCACAGCAAGACGCTGGCAAGTGTTTTCGCTGTGGAGGGTCACACGCACCAGACGAGTGTCGTTTTCGACACGCACAGTGCCACTTTTGCAAGCTGCGGGGCCATATCGTGAAAGTTTGTCGACGAAAAGCGAAACAGTCCTCACCGACGCCTAGGCCTACATGTGGCAGCCGCCAGAACGGCCGGCGGCGCGACAGTGAAACAGCGGATGTTTTCGGCATCTTCCAAATGACTGCCGAGGAACCTGCTATCCGCGTGGTCGTAGAAGTGAACGGGAACCCTCTCGAGATGGAAGTCGACTCAGGAGCGGTGTGCTCCGTGATCAACGAGAGAACTATGCGTCAGCTGCGGTTGTCCAAGCACAAGCTGCGACCGTGTGAACTACGTCTTCGCACGCACAACCAGCAGGAATTGAAGGTGCTAGGCTCCGTGATGGTCCAAGTCACCTATAAAGGGCGTCAAAAACGACTGCGTCTCGTCGTGATCAAGAGAGCAGGCGTAGGCTTGCTTGGCCGAGACTGGTTCAAGGCTCTTGGGATAGAGCTGAGAGTCAATCAGCTGGAAGAAGCAACGAACAATCAGAGCCCGTCCAGCGCAGCAGTGCTGAGTCGTCACGCCGACCTTTTCCAACCAGGTCTCGGCAAGAGCAAGGGACCACCAGTTCGAGTCGAAGTGGAACCGACTGCCCAGCCCAAGTTTTTCAAACCGCGTCCAGTTCCCTTTGCCTTACTACCAAAAGTGGATGAAGCCTTGGACAAGCTCATCAGGCAAGGCATTTTGGAACCGGTCCGACATTCCAGTTGGGCGACTCCAATAGTACCTGTGGTAAAAAAGAATGGCACAGTGCGAATCTGTGGCGACTACAAGAGTACGGTAAACCTTGTGGTCCGTTGGGAAAGCTACCCCCCACCCACACCTGAGGAACTTTTCGCGAAGCTGGCAGGCTGTGCAAGGTTTTCCAAGGCTGATTTAGACCAAGCGTACCTGCAGCTGACAGTTGACAGTGAGACAGCTGACCTTCTCACCATCACCACACACCGTGGACTTTTCCGTGTCACGCGCCTACAGTTCGGAGTAGCTGTTGCAGTCGCTATTTTTCAGAGGTACATGGAAGAGCTGCTGCAAGGGCTGGAAGGGGTGCAAGTTTTTCTCGATGACATCCTGGTAGGCGGTAAAGATGAAGCCGAGCTCAACACCCGTCTGCAAGCTGTGCTTTAAAGAATTCAAGACGACGGTGTCCGGCTAAAAAGGGACAAGTGCGTTTTTGGAGTGGATGAAGTTGTATTCCTAGGACACAAGGTCAGCAAGGCAGGAATACAGCCGACAGACGACAAGGTCAAGGCTATCTATGGGGCACCCGAGCCAAAATGCAAGAAGGAGTTGCAAGCGTTCCTAGGGGCACTCAACTTCTACAACAGGTTCCTACGGGGAGCGGCACACACTTTGGAGCCCTTGTACAGGCTGCTCGACAACGGCCATAAGTGGAGATGGACTACGCAGGAAGCAGAGGCTTTTCTGCGGGCCAAGCAGCTACTGCAGTCTTCGGACGTCCTTGCCCATTACAGTGTCCACCAGCCACTAGTCATGGCATGTGATGCCTCTCCGTACGGACTTGGGGTGGTACTCAGCCACGTTGATAGCGAATGCCGGGAGGTACCGGTAGCCTATGGCTCTCGAACTATGACAGCTGCCGAGAGGAACTACGCACAGACAGACCGGGAAGCTCTGGCGATAGGTTTTGGAATACGAAAGTTCCACAAGTTCATCTACGGTCGGTATTTTCGGATCGTGACCGATCACAAACCTCTACTGGGACTCTTGCATCACGCAAAACCGATGCCTCAGGTGCTGTCGCCGAGGATGTTGCGAAGGTCGTTAATGTTGTCGGCTTACGACTATGAGCTGGAGTACAGGCCTGCTCATCAGCTCAGCAACGCGGATGCACTGAGTCGACTGCCTCTAACTGTGGAAGACAGCTCAACTGACGAGAAACTTTTTGAAGTCCGGATGCTGGAGACTGCGCCGGAGATTCCGTGGGATGCCCAGAAGATTGCCCGATGCACCCGGAACGACCCAACCTTGTCCAGAGTTCGACATTGGACGGGGGTTGGATGGCCTCAAGGCAGGCTGCCGGACGAGTTCAAGCCATTTGTTCGACGGCAGCACGAGTTGTCGGAGTATCGGGGATGCCTGCTGTGGGGATGTAGAGTCATCATTCCAGAACAAGCGAGAGACCAGGTTTTGGAGCTGCTGCAGACCACGCATCCCGGGATCGTCCGCATGAAGGCGCTTGCCAGAAGCACAGTTTGGTGGCCGGGTATCGACCAAGATATCGAAAGGAAGGTCCGAACCTGCCTGCCCTGCCAGGAGACAAGGCCGCAACCTGCACGTGCAAGACTGCATCCGTGGGAATTCGCCAGAAACCCATGGTCCCGAATCCACATCGATTTTGCAGGACCCTTCCAAGGAAAGGTTTTTCTTCTGGTGGTGGATGCGTATTCGAAATGGCTGGAAGTCATCCAGATAGCATCCATGTCGTCAGCAGCAGTGTGTCATAGGCTGCGAGTGCTGTTCGCAACACACGGTGTTCCCGACACTATAGTCTCGGACAATGGGACAGCGTTCGTCTCACAAGAATTTGAAGAATTTTTGCAGAGAAACCAGATCCGGCACGTTAAGGTGGCGCCATATCATCCATCGTCAAATGGCCAAGTGGAGCGCATGGTCCAAGATACTAAACAAGTCCGCAGGCGCATGGAAGGAGGCGACATGGCCACCAAGTTGGCCCGATTTCTTTTGAGTCAGCATATTCTCCCGCACTCAACGACCGGAAAGAGTCCGGCGGAATTGTTGATGGGTCGGAGACTCCGTACTGCACTGGACCGGCTTCACCCAGACCTAAAGTAGAGATGGTGGACAAGCAAGAGGAACAAGCGCTGCGGGGAAGACAAGGTGTACGCGCATTCGAGCCGCGAGAACCAGTCTTCATCCGCAATTATTTAGCAGGCCCCAAGTGGCTACCGGGTATCATCACTGAGATCACCGGTCCGGTGTCTTACAAGGTTCGCACCATCGACGGTCGTTTCTGGAAGCGGCACGTGGACCAAATCCGGAGACGGGAGTGGAGCACATACCTGGACGAGGAGGAGCCTACGACAGAGCTGTCACCTCAGCAGCTCTCCTTACCAAGCGAGCCATCGCTTAGGAATGAATCGGTGGAAGAGTGCCCACCATCTACGAGTCAAGCGGACTTCCCTGAGGAGTCAACCCCAGTGGCAACACCTCCAGCTTCCCCACAGCGTTCACCTGCTTCACCCCATGAACCGAGGCACCAAACAGTGTTGCCAACTTCAGCGCCTGCGCAAGAACAGTCAAATCGTCCCCAGCGACAACGGCGACGTCCCGACTACCTGAAAGACTATGTGACCTAGGGGGGAGGGATGTTGTGTGTTGGCAACCGAGGATATCCAGGGATGCCGGTGAACTGGTGCACGTGCGCATGCACGAGACGTTCGACTGCTCTGGCCCCAACCCGGTCGGTTGTGCCCGCTGTATGCTGTAATGTATATATTATGTAAAGATTAAATACACAACAGAAGTCAAAGACATCTGCAGGTCGAACAACCTTTTGTCGCTTCTCACGAGAGTGTCGGCCCCTGCGAACCAGTAACTAAAAGTGTTTTTCACCGCCAAGACACACAAGCCGGGGATCACGCTTAGGAGCATCATATCAGAAAATGGATGTTGGCAGAAGTCTCTGGCTCTCTATCTGCAGAAGCACCTGGCAGCCGTCCCCCTGGACCAGCCTTTCCGCGTAGGCAGCTCTCAAGAACTCCTCCCAGCTCTCCAGCTTCTTCACACATCAGGCACAGGCACCACATTCTTCTCCCTAGACATCACCCACATGTACTACAGCCTGGACTTCAAAATTCTCCTGGATGCGGTCGAAAAAGCCATCACTGCACAGGGCATCGTCAAATTCCAAAATTCTTCCGGCATCCCCCTCAGCGCGTTCTTGCAATTAATCAGAGTATATCTTCGGTCGGCCATGGTGGAGCATGACGGCAAGATGTACCTACAGAAATCAGGCGTCTGCATCGGGTCCTGCTTAGCACCTGCGCTCAGCGAGGTCTACCTGTCCTTCGTGGATCAGGCCGTGAAGCAGCAACTGGACAGCGTCGCTCCAGGAACCCAGGTTTTTAGATATGTGGACGATTATCTGGTGCTCCACGACTCTGGCGCGCCCACCACCAACATCCAGAAGGCCTTTACAGAGAACGCAAACGGCCTGAGCTTCACCAGGAAGGACCCCTCGGCGGAGGGTCTCCAGTTCCTGGATGTACGCCTCGTCGCAACCCAGGGAGGCACTTGCTGGCGCTTCCAGCAGCGGTCGCGGAAGGCGGTGCTGCCATTCTCAAGCCACTACTCAAAGACAGTAAAAGCAGGCATCGCAAAAGGTCTCATCTCCTCCACCCGCACAAAGTCCTGCCAACACTTCTCCCTATCTAGCCTGGAGGGTCAGCTCAGCCGTCTCACAAACGCCGGATACCCGCGCGACCTGCTGGCCCTCCACGGTCAGAAAACTAATAATTGAAAAGCCGCCGCACGGAAGCCTGCCGGCAAAGGTACACTACCATCACCTATTTCCGCAACACCTGTGCCCACCAACTAAAAACAGTGGCTAAACGCTTCGACATGGACGTTGCGTTTTCGTGCCCCTTCAAGTTGAGCGCAATGTGCCACCTGGTGAACTCTCCCCCTCCTCCCAAGATCGACTGCGCCAAGAGGCACGCGGCACCTTTTGTTCCCTGCGCGGTCGGGCGGATGTATTCCGTGCCCTTCTCGTGCGGGGAAGAGTACATCGGGCAGACGGGCCGCTGCCTCAGCGACCGCCTGCGCGAACATGAAAGAGAAATAGCAAGAAACGACGAGGACTCCCAACACCCCATGGGCCATCACCTCAAGGTTTACGCTCCCTGTGCCCCTGAGTTCCCGTCCGCGCGTGTTCTGGGGGCCAGCAAAAACCGCTACGGGCGCGAGATCGTGGAGGCGTACGCTATATAAAAGAGGCTCCGAAGAACATTTCGTCGGCCTCGCTGTCGCTGTCGAAGAGAGAGGTGACATTTCTTAGACTGGAGTTGACGACCTTGGCGGACAGGGCGAGTGGTTCTTGCTCCTGAGAGGGAATCGGGACGCCCTCCTCCCTTCCCTTCCTTCCCACTATCTCTGCGGTTTACATTCCCCCTGTTTTACTCCCGGGGCCTTGTCTTGCCCCCCTCCTTCCCCCTTCTCCCTCCTTTTAAATTTCCCTCTCCGATAGTGGAGTTCCGAAGCGAAGCGTCCGGCATTAAATCATTTGTTTGTTGAAAGTTGAAAGATGTGTTGTCCCGTCCCCTGTCTTTATGTATATAACTCTTTCTAAACTTATATCACTACCAACGCGCTCACTAACAAGTAAAAAATGAAAGCCTTTGACAACTCCCTGTAGCGCCGAATTAGAGTGCAGATCTTGAGGAGGAGGAGGGAAGGGTACTGAAGGTCACGTGTTGTCGGGGGGAGGGGGGTCACGTGACCTCGGGGGGTGACGTGACCCCCAAGAGAAAGTTTTCCGCTAGATTCAGCTCCGCTAGATTTAGCGGAGAAATTTTTCCCCTAATCTAGTGGGGAAATTTTTCCGCTCGATTTAGCGGGGAAGTTTTTCCGTTGGATTTAGTGGGGAAATTTTTCCGCTAGATTTAGCGGGGAAAGTTTTCCGCTAAATTTAGCGGAGAGAATTTTCCGCTTGATTTAGCGGGGAATATTTTCCGCTAGATTTAGCGGGGAAATTTTTCCGCTAGATTTAGTGGGGAAATTTTTCCACTAGATTTAGCGGGGAAATTTTTCCGCTAAATCTAGTGGGGAAAGTTTTCGGCTAGATCTAGCGGGATAATCACTCGTAATGCCCCGCGCGGTTGCGCCGACGGCGACGCCGACGGCGACGCCGCTCTAGCCGGAAACGGGCGCCTAAGAGCTGCGCTCTAAAGTGCCGCGAGGTCATTGCTCATGCCTTCCGATTTAAGTGAGGTAAGTCCAAGCGAAAGCCTCCTGCACCATTCATTACTTACTAACGCGCCCGATATTGCTGCAAAAACGACATATTAGTTTTAAAGCGAGCGGCGCTCACTCACCTTGGCACCGCCATGTTTCCCGGCACCTTTACTGAGCCAGTCACGTGATTTCAAAATCCCTCTCCTAGGTACTGCGGCTAACTTTAGCCGCGGTTAGCGCTTCGAGCAAACGGGCGGGGGATAAGTTCGCCTTCGGCGAGAATCTCTCCGATGCGACATAGCGGGGGAGGAGTGGAGCTTCTTTTGACTCCGCCCTCGCGAGTTTCCCACTCCTCCTCTTACGTTTGCGACCCCCTGGCGGCAGCGAGTTCCCCAACGTAGCTCCGATTTGTCCCTACGCTCCTCAGTAAAGGGTTTAATTTGATTTAAATCGGGGGATTGGTGGAAGGCTGGGCCAGCGCACCCCAGCTCGGAGCACATCGAGCGAAAGCTCCGTTACAGAACCCAGGATCCTGGGCTCAATCCCCACCCCTGCTCGTTCCGATCTTGATGAGCATGGTACCGGCGTGCGGTCGCGTATCACTACTCCGGGATGAACGTTAAAGACCACAGGCTAGCGGTTGTACTGCACTGAGTGAATTTCTCATCTACAGCTGGGAGAATCTTCGCCCGTTGAGGCAGAACAAGTTTTAGGCTGTATCAACATACACACAACCCAATTATTTTATTTAAATCGTGAATGACAAATAGGAATCGGTAACAGCAGGGATGCTAATTATAGAAATATTGCTTGGATATGGGCAAGTTGATTAGACATTGTGATGGTTTGCTGCGGTGCGTAAATGCAACAAAAACTAAAACAGAGACTAGACGAAAAACAACATACAGCAAGGCGAAGACTAACAACTGCGGGCGGGGCCGGGGCTGAGAGCGCGGGACCAGCGCTTTTAGCGCTTCTGCCCAGCTCGCGTGCTCGAGCAAAGCCTGAGCGCGCGGAGCTTTCGTGCTCGCGCTTCCAGCTTTGCCTTCGCTCGCACGTGGGGTGAAACGAAGTATAGTTATGTCGATATAAGTACTCTCATTATTTATTTTGTGCTTGCTGGTGCACGCTATGGGGTTCTGTCGTGTACAGCATTGTTTGAACATATGTCACAGTTCGCCTTAACGGCCCTAATCATTTTTTTTTGCCCGCGAAACGTGTTTAGTCATTATTTTGCTAACGCTGCCCTCGTCATCCCCGGACCCCTTCATTACCATATTTTCCCTTCCCTTTCCCCGCATTCACCCTCATCAACCTACAATAACCCAGGCCCGCGAAACGCGCCCACCGTGAGTGAGGCAAATGTCACGTCTGGCAAACAATACAACCAACCAACCAACCAACAACTGTGTCATTTCTTTCTAATCTTTCTCCCCCCACACCGCCACACATGGTGATGATGATGATGATCATGATGATGAGGATGCGGCTTGTTCCCTTTGAAACGGGCGAGCGCGAACTAAGTTCGTGCCCAAGCCTGGGAACGAGGAGATTCTAATACCCCCTGAAATGGATCTTATTCCACCAACGTTCAAGTCTTCGTTTAGTGGCCACTACAAGCCTGTGCAGGCCGCTAGAAGGCCTCTTTATCTGCGTAGCTGCAGAGCTTTGTGCATAAAAGTAGTCTGCTTGGTTGCGCCCTATTTCAGTAATAGACCCTTTTCGAAATTCAGTGCCATCTGGTGGTTTGTAAAACAGTTTACGCTTTGCCATATCAATGGCGGAAATGAACTAGTATCGGCGTCGTCACTTTCGCAAGTCAACGGCACGCGAGGAATGGTTCGCTGTGAGTTCTTTCTCGATCATTTTCAGTTCGATGG